AGAATTATTTTCCTGTGAATGTGCTTTACTGGAGGCATCCATGTTTGTCAAAGAACACTACTGCCACCTACTGGTTTGTGACGTCACGGTGCGGTAAGCTTAGTAGCCAACATTTGGAAGAAGAATGTTTTTTAAGATGACATGACTAAGATAATAGCGCGTTGTGACAAACACCAGATACAGCACTGGGACTTGATCAACAGCCGATACCGCACCGTGACGTCACAAACCAGTAGGTGGCAGTAGTGTTCTTTGACAAACATGGATGCCTCCAGTAAAGCACATTCACAGGAAAATTACTCTTAATTAAAAACACTTATTATTTATTGAGCAGTGTGTAATAATTTCATATTTAAAGTACTTTCAGAAGTTTCAATTCTGAATATGAGCGGACCTTTCCTTTAAATTACCTCCTATTTGGTCAGAACAGGAGGTAAATAATATGACAAAGCTATTATTAGTGTAGCATTGCTTTAACAACGTGAGTAATTCATCATGGTAGAGGTGGGTAGTAACGAGTAACATGAACTTGATTAAGAAAAAGGAAGCAGTTTTACTCAAAATATAGGTCTATATGCACAAATATGCCTTGAGTAATATTTCATTAACATTACTACTCTAAATGAGTAAAATATTAAATTGCTCATTAGTAACTTTACTTAATTAAGATCTGACTTTTTAACCAAAAGCGCTCCGCTCAGGATACTCACACCTTCATTAATGATGAAATAAGACATATTGGATTAGCACAAGTGTTGTTGTTTTTTTTTTCTTATTTTCTATCTGCTGAGCCTTTTGGAGATCAAGAAAATATACAATAACAATTATGCATTACTAATGTAAATATCAGTTCCCTTCATTAATATGTTATCTTTTGTATGCTTACTATTTTGGTCTTTACAATACCAGATTTTTATATTTTCTATTTCATTTCATGCTTATTCAAACAGCAGATCAGATGACATACCCAATATTTATTTATTCATTTTTGAAACGGTGGATGTATGTCTCTGGTATCCTGAATGTCTCCCCATAACATGTTGGGCCACCACAACCAAACTATATTTTATAGCTGACCAGCTCTGCTTTTGGGGGCGGTCCTTCTACTAGAGTGAGGAGAAAAGACGCGTTCCTATTGGTCTGCGGGATGTTAGCAACAACAGATTCATTGGTCAAAAACGAGCTACCTGAGTGAAGATAATGTGATCTGAAAAAGGCATTTCGTATAAAAGACAATTCATAGATCTCAGTCAGAAAATGCAAAATTCAAAAAATAAATTATGGAAATATAAAATCTGTAAAAAAAAAAATAAAAATTAATTAAATGAAAAACTTTGATAAAAATGTTTGAGAAATAAAGTAAATAAAAAAGGAAGATTACTATTTAAAAAAAAAACAGCATAGAAATCATGCATTTTCCTTTTCTTCCAAATTCAATAACAAAATTCACTCCATAAATGGCTACCAATATCTAAAACTGTTAACTGTGCAACTGTGCGCCTGTTTTGGTATCAGAGTAAGGACCTTTTTTTTTTCTTTTTTCTTTTGGTTGTCTGTTTGTTTGTTTTTTCCCAATTACACCAGTAAAGCGAGGTCAGTTTAAACCAAAGTGAGGACATTTTGCCGCTCCTCATTTTTGCAGATAGTTTGGTTTAGGGCAAAGTTTATTTCATTTTAGACTATGGTTTGGGTTAGGTTTACAGTCATTGTCGGGTTTGGGTATAAAAAGGGTTAAGAATTTGTAAAAAGAATAATGGACGTCAACAAATGGTCCTCACTATATATAGGAAGTGTGAGCTCTTCACCAGTAAAAAGAACTATTTCATGTCATTTTACACATTTAAAAGAAATTATTTTGTTTCTACAGCAGAAACGTCAGGGTCATCTCCCTTTTTCTTGTCTGTTTTTTATTATCCATGTTGTTATTGAGAAAAAAAACCCAAACATTTTAAAATGTGATTTTTTTCATAGAACATGTCATGGCCGCAGGAAGATGTGGTACTGGGGATGCTGCTGCACCCCCTAGTGGCAAGAGGGAGATTTAGAGAAGAATGTATTAAAAATACTTTGCACAATTTATACTTTTCTTACGAATATTTTGGGAAATGATTTTGACTTTTTTTTATTTTACGTTTGCGTGTATTCGGATCCAGAAGCTCCCCATTGTGGGACAGTAAAGGGATTTTCTATTTCCAATTTAATTATTTTGAGTAGTTCATGGATGTCACGTTGTCATGGCAACGTCACGCAAGCAGAGTGTGGTGTCACGATAGCAGACTAGTAAATTCACATAGTCTAACAACAGAAACAAGGAGGATATATGGCACAGAAATGCATTTGTGTTTTCTGTGTAATGGAGAACTGTTCAATAATGTTTAGATAGAATAATAATATTAATATTTCCTTGCGGTTTGCATAAAAGTATATTTTAGAGCTAATAGAGTCACGTGTAATATAAACACAGTGACTCAGGCTAGAGATAGAATGAAGCAGAATGATGAAAAAGGGGTCCTTATGTCCTCCAGCAGTCTAATCCTATAGCAGCATAACTATAGAGATAGCTCAGGATAACCTGAGCCACTCTAACTATAAGCTTTATCAAAGAGGAAAGTTCTAAGGCTAGCTTTAAAAGTAGACAGGGTGTCTGCCTCATGGACTAAAACTAGTTGTCATTTTAAAAAAATGTCATTTAACAAGGGGGAAAAAAGCTAAAAAATTCAGTTCTATAAGGATTTATTAACTCCCCTGATCTTTATCTTGGAATAATTTTGGCCTACTTTTATTAACAGAGTTGCCTTAAATTAAGTTCTTGGTTTCACATTTTAGGAAAAGTTACCCAGGTCTATAATCAGAAAGGCCGTAATAAGATGATCAAACTGCTGCCACCATTTTTTCACACTTATTTTCTCTCTGAATGGCAGTGTTCAGCGCCGGGCTTAGACAAGGATGTTAAGTCAGCCTTGCCTTAAAAGTAGACAGGGTGTTTGCCTCACGGACTAAAACTGGTAGTTGGTTCCACAGGAGAGGAGCCTGATAACTAAAAGATCTGCCTCCCATTCTACTTTTAGAAATTCTAGGAACCACTAGTAAACCTGCAGATTGAGAGCGAAGTGCTCTGTTAGGAACATAAGGAACAATCAGATCTCTGATATCAGATGGAGCTTGGCCATTTAAGGCTTTATATGTGAGAAGGAGGATTTTAAATTCTATTCTGGATTTAACAGGAAGCCAATTAAGAGAAGCCAGGATAGGAGAGATATGATCTCTCTTTTTCATTTTCATCATAAAATTACATCACCATTATATTGTTGATTAGTGTTTCTTCTGTGCACGTGCAGCTCGATGAGGTTTGGTTATGCACTTCAAACAGGAGAGTTTCAGGAGGACGGGCCGTGCAGATTTCCACCTGGGACCAATTAGAAGCTGTCATGGTGGATTCCCAGCTGGAAGACCGTAGCATGAATGAGCTCGAATGAGTTTCTAATCCTCATCTATTCACTGACTCTATATTCTTCCAGGATTTGTCAACAGTCACTCCAGTGACTCTACACGTGGATCCTCATGGATTCTACCTCTTCTGGACTGACCAAAACAAGGTTAAGCCCACTCACTAACACCTCAACCCATTTTACCTGTAAATTATGCTGATATCATCACAATAAGCTCATCACTACCAAAACGATCAAACCACATTTAAACACTTTAGTATTGTATTCAGTACCAAGTACTCAGATGTGCAGCTTTTCAAATAATCTAATGCAACCTGGGCTTAGATCTGAGGAAATATTATAAACTGTTTTATTGCACATCTAGAATTGAGCATTAAACTATCTTGAAGGATGTCTGTGATAGAAATCAGCACAGACTTTGAAAAGTGAGAAAAGCAAACAACATCCTGAAGGTAATTCTTTAAAAGATTGTCTGCTTAACAAAGGCTGCCCCACTGCATATTTATGTTAAAGGAATTTCAATTTTTTTTTAAATGAAAAACAACAAAAAATGAACTGAACTAAGCTGTATTGAATTTGCTGAAGGGGAAACAGTTCAGGGCTTAACACGACCATCGCCTCGAAATCAGCTGATGGATGAAAACCCATTCAGACAGCTGACTCTTAATGATGCTGGGTTGGAGTCATTATGGCTAATAGGGAAGCCTTTCTTATATTATTGACATGCTGTTAGCTGCTTGCTAATGTAATCAAGCTGCACAAGAGAAATAAGGCCCACGTCCAAACCAAGACAGGTTACAATCTGTTGGTTAGTTTTAGCAGTATATATTAAACAACAGATCTTCAGATCTTGTGGAATCAAAGATAAATTGCAAAATTTATTTATATATATACAAATATGACACACTGTTCAATGAAAATGTTCCAACTTATCTTCGATTCCAGAAGATCTGAAGGTAACATGGAAAGTGAATAGATATCTGAAAATGGCACGGTACATTTACAAAGTTTTGTTCACTGGTTTGATATAAATGTATCTACTCCTCTCCATCTCTGCGTCATCAGGACACAGAATTGCTGGACCTGACCTTTGTGAAGGATGTCAGAACTGGCAGGAGCACCAAACCTCCCAAGGTACTTTTTCTTCCATCCATCTGAGCTCAACTGATTCACTCTGTCCTAAACAGTATGTCCAAACCTCATGTGTTTAGTGAGTTTTTACAGTATGTTTTTTTATCATACGTGATGTTAAATTTACATGAACTCTTGAGAGTGGCAGAGTGGAGAGATCCTTTAATGTATGATACCTACGCCCTTAGAAACCCAGCTGAGATAAAGCGTGATGGATGGATGGATGGATGGATGGATGGATGGATGGATGGATGGATGGATGGATGGATGGATGGATGGATGGATGGATGGATAATGGA